TAAAGACTAACAAGATGGTTTATTACGTGATGAGCTTTCTCTGATAAGGACAGGGAGTCATGTCCATCACCTGTAAATTTCTAATTACAAGCCATCCCCTGCCACATTTCAATCTACACTTCCTCTGACAACCAAAAAATAAAATCAAGTCGCTGATCTCCTGTAACAACTAAATCTAGAGAAAAACAGACTATTTCTTAGGAATATTCTATGACATACACATAACCCAACTTTCCTTTATAATGTTTGTTTTGCATGATAAAGGTAACAACCAGAGTATATAACAATCAATAATCAATAAAGGGTGTTAGAAATGGCTAAGGAAGGTTAAACCAGTGGGTTGAAAAGAAAGCCTTGAGATACATTGTAGAGAAGAAAGAAAAGTAACCTTAGATACAGAATTTCAAAAGAAAAAACCCAGTACAAAGAATTTTGCCCCCAATAGCTACAAAAGAGTTCTTTCTTCAAGCATATTCTCCACATTGAGGTTTGGTAGGTGCCCTTCCTCAGACAGACCTCAACTTTTTTGAATAGGGCATGTGTATGGGGTTAAGAGAGGACATCATGATTTAATAGCCTGGAAATAGAAGCTTTAGCACAAAGTTAAACTATAATAAATAGAAATTAATGTAAGATAAACATAAATCCTTATGTTTAATGTTGTAAATAATTCATTTCATTGAAAATAACTGCCCCACTATTGATAATATTTCTGTCTCTGAACTTGCTATAAAAAGATTAAATAATAATCTTACAAAAATAAAGAGACAACAGTGGAGTTATCTGGAAAACAATGTTTTTACTGGATCTTTTGTCCGGGGCGAACCAATGAAAATTGCCATACAAGGTTCACTTTTTATTTAGACTAAGATTGTACATACACACTCGAATTTGAGTGGTTGACACAATGGTATTTTGGAACAGGTTTAATTTTCAGATTTCACATTGAAATATAAAGTGATTGGCATTTCCATTATGCAAGCAAAACTAACTTTAGCTAGAAACCATCTGCCATTATCTCAGTGCACTTGTTGAAATTTGTCTATGCAACCTAGCTATGGTTGCTTCAATAACCCTACAGTAGGAAAACTTGAGGAAAATACAGTTAGTGAAACAGAGCCCCCGTTTAGAAAGGTTCTTGGGCAGCTGAGTAGCCACATTTAAATCAATGGCTTACCTCCAGTGATTAAAGTTTGACACCAGTTTAAGAATGTTGTTGAATCAGAAAGGAACTAATAAATTTCCATTAAAATTATAATGCATTTTTCTTAAACAATAAGCTTACTATGGTTTTCTATCTTGTTTTCTGCTCCCTGTGATAATGATCTAACACTTCAGTGTTGTAAAGTTGTTAGAGAAGAATAGTTGGCTGTGTCCTTCCATTTAATTTGCAGCCACTCCACATCATAGTTCCCTAACTAAATTGGTGGTAGTGGTGGAACACTGGCCAAAATAAATCAGCTGGAAAATATTAAGATTGTCTTTACATCTGCAGTGGCATCAATTTAATATTGAAGCCTTATTTAAGGATAAAAAATGAAAAAAGTCCTTACATGCTATTATAATTGCCACTGTATAAGTAAAAAAACAAACAAAAATCCCTTTTTATCCCATGCTCCTTGTTCTTGCCTCTCCCTCAAAAATCCTATAGTGCACATCAAGTTTAACAGTTAAAATAGATACATTGAAATTAAGTGGCATATGTTTTAATTTACAAAGGGAGGATATTTTGAATTCTTTGAAAGGAAGTTATTAAGAGTGACCAACTACATAATCATCAGTAATCACTTTATATAAAATCTACTCCCATGATCATGTTAATCTGGTGCTATTGCAAGATTGTTTTTCTGAGTTTCAGGCTACTAAACCAAATATTGCCAATAGGGAACATATAATCTACACATAAATGATTTCAGAATTCAAGGTTTGGGGGATTTTTGGGGAGGCGGGAGGGCTTCCATTGGCAATAGAAAGCAAGAACACATTTTACTAATCCCTGATCATTTTTATGGTCATTCTTGCACCTGTAAGTCAAATAATGAAGCCATTTGTTATTTATATTGCACTTTTCTTTCCATTCTAGATCTATAACAATCTGACCTTATTTTATAGCCCCTGACACTGCCCAAGATTTGCATGGACTTCCAGTAATTGAAGGATATAGGATAAAATCTTTAACTGGGATGAAGCAGATGTTGGCTTCATGCTGTCCTCTAACTTGATTATTCTTTGGACACGTTAGGCAAGCATTAGTGATTGATAATGACGCTAATTAACCCCTTTCCTTTCCAAAACAGTAAACCCACTGCCAGCAGAATGCTGCAAACAACAGATATAAAACACTGCATATATAAATGTTGGTTTAAAGAAGATAATACAACTTCATTGCTGTATGTTCAAGAACATTCACTTCAATAGAAAATTAGTAATGTTGAAAAAGTAGGTGTTAGGTGTTCCTTTTTCTGTAAGGCCATGAAAAAATGTCATAAATGTCAGTTACAATAAAGTTACCAGAATATAAGAAAATGCAGATTATTTCACTAGTAACATTTTTTTCCATTAATTATGTTTATTTACTTTTTTCTTTTTGTCGGTTTGTCTTATCGGCTAGGAAGGGCTTCACTTAATTCTTCACTTGTGCACCATTTGTTGCTATAATTCCACTTTTTGAAAACCATCTGTGATGTATACACTATTCTGAATTTGGATTCAGCTGAGACATTAAATTGTGTGTGAGCTAAAGAGGAAAGGAAAGAGCTGCATATTAAGGAATTTAGAGTTTACGCAAAATACGAGTAAACAAAGATTTGATCTGATTAGGCAGTGGAATTTATCACGGACAATGAAGAAATCTCCTTTAAACGTAAGGATTTTGATAAATGAATATTCCTTGCAAGTGAATAAAATGTATTCAATTAACTAAAAACCTCATGCACTTCTGAACTGAAGTGGAATCGACTGTAATTGATTTATTTGAAACCAGAGGTTAAGGACTGAATTAGCTAAGTACAACTGGGTATTTCAAGCCACTGACTTCTCAAATGTCAAATCCCTTCTATTTTAAATATTATTTCAGCTGCAGGGCATTGCTGTCCTGATGGCTGTTCCACCAGTTAAATCTCAAATTATATTAATATTCGATTTTTGGAGGTGGGATAGATTATGATTTAAAGAGTAGGGTGCTAACTATTCAACTCCAAGGAGCATTGTGTTACTTTTTTAAATAGTACACATTAGAATAGCATGTCAGGAATGGTCTAGAACTCCTGTACACACAACCATTCATGCCAATTTCAGCAAATCAGTAAAAAAGAAAAAAAATGTTGCTACTATATAAAAGCATTACCTAGAATTTTACTGCTGAGCATTGATCACAACATTAAAAATGCACCCAAAGAATGCTAAAGTAATTAACATGTTTTAGTAACTGCATGTTGGTCACCAGAAGCCAAAACAAAACAAGTATAAATTTCCATTATCTTCTGCAAACTCCTCCTTTAGAAATAATAATAAAGAGATCTAAACAAGTTCATTTAGTTTCTGTTTTTTGATGGGCGCAGGGGATTGTGCAGCATAAAGACATTGAAAATATTCCACTGTAGACTAAAATAATTAATTACATTTTTTAAAAAAAACATTTATTATGGCATTATAATGATCTGGCATAAGAGGGCTTTATACATTGGCCAGTATAAAACAATTATATTGGGTCAGGTTTCAAAAAGTAACCTGCCTCTGTAAATCCAGATATGAATGAATGGTATTTAATAAGATTGTTTTCGTTTTAAAATGAGTATTTATGTGTTGCTGTGGAAAGAGCAGCAATGTATTGCTGTTTATGGATGCAATTGTGCCTGAGGTTAGGATCCCACACACAATCTGAGATGCAGCCAAGAAAAACAGCCCTGATAGACAATGCTTCACTTCACCTGCTACAATACTGTGCATTTCATTTATGTCAAGAATATGTACAGTTAGGGTTCATTCACCTCATTATTTTGTTACATCTACTTTCCAGTTAACCAGTCTCTCTTGGAAATAATAAATAACTGTTTGAAAAACAATTGCAGCTTTGCATTCAGAAGATCTACTTTCAATTTGTATTAAAAAATATCCACCATTTTTATGAACTGGCTGGCATTCTAAAATAGAATTTAGACTCCACCAACTCTCTTCTGCTTGGCAAGATTGATTTTACACTGCCTTCTAGAAGTAGATTACCAAAACAAAATGAAACATCTTGGACTTTATCTAATGCTTTGCTTCACCAGTCCTAGCAAACATCACACTATATGAACAAATGTTAATTCTCATTGCAGATTCATTGTAAACACCTCACAGTTAACCTCCTCCATTTCTGTCTGATGAAAAAAACCACCAAAATATCAACATCACTTACTTAGAATGCAAAATCTCTTTAAAGACACCTTCACATTTTAAGCTATATTAATAAACCTTCTTTCACATAATACAGTGCAAGAGATTCTGACTTCTCTGTTTGGGCTGGACAAAAACTAGTTAAAAGTAAAAATTCTCTCACTTGATTTATGAAAACAGATCTACAATTTGTACGTGCTTTAAAAAATCGTAAAACTACCCAGGTCATCTCAGCAGAAGTCAACCAGTGTGTTCCATTAAAGTAGAAACCATTGTGATGAATTTGAAATAATTTGTCTTTTACAAGACTTAATTCCAGTGTAGAAATATTTTAGATGAGTTTACCTGCCAAAGACTATGGAGCAATTTAAAAAAAATTACTGTTATTCAAATCTATAGGTTGATAGAACCACATTTCACAGCAACTAATTTTCAGCATTTATTTGATACTGATTAACTAACATTTTAGTTTTTAAAATGTTCTTCCTAAGGCAAGCGTTAACATTTTTCATTCTCACTTCTCATCATTACTAAACTGTACAAAATTATATTATGTATATATGTATAATTTTGTGCAGTCTATATAACTTATTAAACACAAATAAAAACCTAGAGGGTCAACATAAATAAAATAAAACTTTATTTTTTAAAAATAAAATTATGTTTTGGTAAAAGAAAAGATAGCGTGTCATTTCTTTGCTAGTACAGACAATTTTTTATCCAAAAGAATACATTGTGTTTTATTGTGTCATTTGTCTGAATACAGACTCAGTGGAATATCTAAATGATACCCTGCTCTGAACTCCAAGTTGAAAGTAAGTTTTTATTATACTTGAGGGAAACAATGGGTTCAGCTGCTTATTGCAAAGAGCAATTGTCAAGGGAGAGTTAAACTCAATTACTGTAACCATACTGAATAAAAAATACTGCCAAGAACAAAAATACGCCTGGGTAAAGACAGCCACTGAATAAAAAAATCGACATAAAGCGTATCAAATATTTATTTATCTGGGCAACAAAGGACTATGATACATTGACAGGCATGGAAACTACTGCCAGCACAACTCAATACAATACAACTATAACTGCTTCCAATATGGCCAGTGGAAATACAGGATACCAGGTGGTCCCAAATTTTTGAAGTTCTTTCAGGGGGGAAGAAGGGCAAAGAAAAGAAAAACTAAACCTTGATCTAAAAGACAATATTTAATTTATTGCTCTGATGATGCTTTCAGGACAGTGGATGAAAATAAACTCTTTTTTTCCACAACACATAAGAGTTGTAAAACCACTAACGTTTAAAAATCTTTCCTGGATCCAACATCATTTTATTCTTTTTCAATGAGAAACTAAATGTAATACTAATTGTATATAAAAATTCAATTTTCTTTTGTTTGTTCAGCTGCTTCATTGTCGCCTTTTACATGCTACAACAGGGCTAAAAAATGATGAATCCCAGAGAAAAACAAAAGAAAACAAAAACCCCCTCAGATTTCTAAGTAAGTACTATGAACCACATGATGAACTAAGAAGGGAAGATTTTAAACCCACTAAACAAGAGGTAAACAAGATCACCAGATAAATAAAAAAAAGCTTAAAACAGACTCACCATATTTACATTTCCCATTAAATTACACATAAATAAATATATACATACATAAACACTGATTCCCTTATATAATAACTGTGAATCGTGTTGCAATAGAAAGTTCAAGTTGGTGGCTTTACCTTGGACAGGAAAAAGTTCTACAACTGAAGACATGACATGGAATTGTGTGTGTTTTGTGTTCAAGTTTATTCACAATACTGATAAAATGTCATCAATCCTTTTTGCCTTTTGCTTAGGTTTGTTTTTGTTTTGTTTTTTTTAATATGGCTACAATCTTAACTGAAGTTTATGAAAGGGGAGTTGGTGATTCAGTCCGATGAAGCTCATAGATTTATATTTTAGTATTATTTATTAATTTGTTTTTATTTCTTTTTATATATTTTTAGAAAAACAGTTCCTTTTCTTTTTGTTTTGGTTTTTTTTGTATTTTTCTCTTTTTGATTTTTTTTTTTTAAAAAAAAAGTTCACAAACTCAGACAGAACTTTTTTCTTTGCTGGCTCCATTGCCCAGTTCTGTTCTCTCAGGCTCCAAACCAAGGTAAGGAGGTGTGGGGAAGTAACTGGGAGCAAATGGAAGTGCTGAAGGCCGGAGGGAGGAAGGACAGCATAGTCCTGCAGAGTCAGAGAACAGGATGGGCAGAAGGGCACTGATTCTGTTGCTGTGACTGGACAGGGAGTGAGGGAGTTGGGAGGGAATGGATGGATGAATGGATGGATGGTTAGATGGATGGATGGATGGATGCGGGAAGGGGGGAAATCCTCACTTTCGGTGCTTCTCCTCTTTGTCGCCGCTTTTGGTGCTGTTGTCTGTGTGGTTGCTGGGGTTGTTGCTGAGGTACATTTTGTCCATGGCCTTGAGCGCCTCGGTGAGATAGTTCTGCAGGGCGGTCACAGCGGCACACACCGCAGGGCTGCCGAATCCATGAGAGATGAGGTTGAAGTGGGTCAGGCAGCTCTGGATGCCCGGCTCCAGGATAGGGTTGGGCCGAGAATTCCCCAGTGGAGATCGGTCCTGAGCCAGCAGGTCGGTGAACTCTTTACAGATCTGTCTGCAACACAAATGGAGCAGTGCAACAGAGAGATGAACCACTGTTGTCAGCAGCAAAACCAGTGCTGTCTCTCTGCTAGATTACACAAGCCTTCAATCAAGGGGACTGCTCCCCCGTACACATAAAGCCTCCCTCTGAGTCACACACACAAAGTCTGTCTCTCTCTCTTTCTCTCTCTCTCTCTCCACATACACACGTTTTATTATAATATGTGTGTGTGAGAGAGAAAGACACACGCTTACCTGGGCACACAGACATGTAGGTCTCTCTTTCACTGCCCTATATCTCCCGCTCACAGAAGCATACAAACATTTCTCTCTGACACACATGCTTCTCTCTTTCACACATACTTTGTCACACACTTTCACACTCATACACACATTTCTGACGCAGGCACACATTTCACTCACTGACATAGTCTAGCCCTTCCATATAAAAACTATCTCCCACATGCCCAAAAGCACCAAACATTTCAAACCAAAGCACCACAATCACTCTCCCCCACGTACACACATTAGCACTTCAGATATTTCAATCCTACGCAGATCATTACAATATTTCTATGTCCCCTCTTCCCATATATTTTGGCACATTGCCAATAAGCTGTTTAGAGTATCTGCAATATGGAACAGGATATATGGTGTGTAATATTGAGAGGGAGATTCGGATATATATTTGCTTTGTGTCTGTTTTTGGAATAGGGGAGATTTATTCTCTTCTTCACAAAGCTAGACAATGGCTGCATGGCAGGAGGAATGCCAGGGTTTACTGAGTAGAGGACACAGAGGGAAAGTTGAGGATTTAAATTAGGCTCTTAAAAAAATCTCTCTCTATATATGGAACTTTCTCCACAAAGGCCAGGGTGACACTGGCAAAGATCAAAAAAACCTCTTTACACTGAGGTGGAAAAGGAAGGATAAAGGGCTATATGCACATTGTGCAGAAGTCATAATTTATAACACAGTCACTTATAACACAGTCACTGCACAAACTGTTAAGAAATTAATACCTTATAGTAGAGATTAGAGGTGTTTTGAAACAGTTTGTATTCTAAAACCCCTGTTAATGTCTTCCAGTCATAAACTAGATCCCATCTTCTGCTTGTGCCCTCTGGCACTATGCCCTTTAGTGACATCTCCATTGGTAATTAAGGGCTACTAAACAAGCCTTTTAATTTCCAGCAAACATATCAAAACAATCATTTTCTTTTCACACACCACCTGGATGCCTACTCAGCCCCACCAATGATAAGCTCCACTTGCATTTTAACTGCATACAGATTGTCATTAAAATATATTTGTAATATCCCTATATTCACTAAGTAACAGAGTGCTAAGGAAAAAAGAACTGTTGCAGATTTTAATGAACTGAAATCAGTTTAATGCGCCAGTTTTATTTTACTGTCAATGGGAAACCTTCCCCTAATGTCTAAACTGATAAAGGCCCAGCAAATGTTTTCCTTTAAGGAATTATTGTTTTTCTTTAAATAAACATCCATCCAAGATTTCACAACCTATTTTCAAGAAAATCTGCATAAACTCACTTCAGAAAATAAAGTTAGTTATATACATTTTCCTATAATATATACTATGACTGTATATTCACATTCTTACAATTTGCAAAATCATTAGCCATTTACTACATGGCAAAAAAGAAAAACAAAAATAAAAAATCCCAAACCCTATGTTTTTCCTTACAACTCAGCAACACAACAGAAAGGTAAATGCCTTACTTTGTAGCTAGAAGCATGTTTTTTCTTGTGACTTGCTCGTTTGGATCGGAATGTTGTCGGTTGAGAAATTCAGCTACTGCTTTGGCAGGAAATTCTGTCTCACAAACATACCCAAAATCTCTAGCTAGATGCACTGCTTCTCCTGAAAGGGGGGTGAAGAGAAACACACATCTAATCGACATACACAGCACAGAGGGCAAAGTAGATTAGTAAAAGCTATAATGCACTTAGACTTTCTCTTAAAATGTACTGCTTAGTGTGCAAATTACTTATATCCTTATTTTATGAATTGTCTTTGCTGTAATCTAGTTGAAAGCAAATATATATATATATGTCCAAGAGTTAGAAGTGAAGACATAAGTATGTACTGTGTGACTTTAAATCTCTTGCTAAGTAGATATAGACACACACACAGTTTATACTTCAGTTTTGTTTTTTGGAAATATATATTTGCCTTGACATTTATATATATTCTGTTAACACACTATCCAATGATTAATATTGATCATAATTACTCCTAGAGCTCTTCTAAATAGAATGCATTAAACAGCTAAGTGTTTAAAATTTAACTTGATCACATATAATTATCTGTTCCCCCCCAAACGATTAACCATGAGAATTTTAGGGTCATTCCATTGAGTCTGTCTGTTTTGTTGATTTTCAAATCTTTGGTTTTAATTTCCTGAACCAGTTGTTTTTTACTGCAGGGCTTCCTGCCATTAGCTCCAGCTCCGGAAGAACGCATGCGCCAATTAGAGCTTCAAAGCCTCAGTCCAGTGAGCTTGTTTCCATAAAATGGAGCGGATCATAAACAATAACAGTACTCTAGAAACTGCCTCATTGCCACAGGACTCAAAGCTCCAACAATTTTTATACTATCATCCAAAAAATGTAACCACCATTACCAGTTTATCTGAAAATCAACCCACAGTTCTTATTTTTAATAGTTCCTTAAAGCCCTTCTATGTGAAAACCAAATGGAACAATAAATTATTGCCAAATACTCTCCATATTCATTAATGTCACAAACAATATTAGCATCCACCAAATCTAGACTTTTTGCAAGTCTTTCTGTTTTTTATTTTTCTTACACTAGAGTGCTGGTGCAATTGTAAAGCCATTTTAGATCAGAAAGACTTGCACAGAAGTCAAAATATAATGCACGTAAGAACCAAAGTGATAATATTGTTTTAAAAATTAAGTCTGGCAGTCTAATGCATTTTTGCTTTATCTTTTATGATACCAAGCAAAAAAAGAATGAAGCTATAAATGATATCTTACGCATCCAAACTTAAGCTAACTTGAGCATCCTTAAAAGCACTTTACAGACTCAATCAAAATCAGTGTAAAGAGATGCCAATAACAAAACTGGAAGGAAGGAAAGATATTTTAGATTGACTCAGGTCTGTTTTTGTTGCAAGCAGCTGAGACAAAATAACCATTTTTAAACAAATGATTGCACCTATTTCAGCTTTCCACATTAGAAATATTAAAGCACATGAAGTCTGAAGACTTAAAGAAGTTGCTGCACCTTTTCATCTCAGAGTAAAACTGAAGAATGATAGAATAAAGCAAGCATCTGTTCTGAAATGAGAACCAAAAGATAATAAGGATGGGGGAGAGCACAACTTTGAGGTTTTCAGGGCATTGTTAAATCATGGCGTAGGTCAAGGTTTCCCAAATTAATTCAGGAAGCAATGGTCTCGCATTTCTCAAATACAGATGTCAGAATAACTTACATGATTTACTATTATGTTGTTTGGAGGGGGTGGGGACTTAACTGTGAGTAGCTGCTGTTCTTGAAATTTAAAATTGCTTAGTCCTCAATGGTAGACAAATGAAGGAATGAGGGGACTGAGGAAATGTTAGGCTGAATCCTGTAGCTTTTGCTCCCCTAAGTAATATTTATAGGCCTGCTCCTGCAGTCCTTATTCAAAGAGGCAATTCCTATAGACCCATTCTTGCTCCCACTGAAATCAATTCATTACAGTGGGATAATTCACCTGAAGAAGGATGCAGATAGCATCATGTGTATGGCAATGCTAAGTATGCAAGAGATATTTAAGTACATTTCAGGTTACCATACAAGACACAGTTACAGAATTAACATTTTCCTCAGGCATAAAGATTAGACAAAATAACCTTCTTCAAAAAAGGAACACAGGCCTGAAAAAATTGGGGATTTATCCTATTAGGCAAAAAATGAACCCTTTCCAATCCTTGAGTCACTTACCCTCCACTAGTGATGTGAGTAGGGTGACATTAGCAGCTTTACGTCTCCCGGCTGGCAGGTTTAATCCTATTTTGTCCAGTTTTTCTCTCAAAGATCTCCCTCCATTTTTAGACTTCGCCCTGTTTCACACATAAAAACCACTTAGAACATGACTAATCTGCACCATCAGGTCATATTTCAGATCTTTTAAAAACCTTCCAAAATGTATTAGAAAATAATACTGGTGATGAAGGGACATTTGGGAAAGTTTTATACAGGAAAAACTAAGAATGAAAAATGGGTAATTATACAAATCTGAATACAACAGTAACTGGAAAAGGATATATTTTATCATTATTTTTGAATTTTCAGTGTTTTTAGTTAAAATGTTTTCTACCAAATCTATCAAATCAGCACTAGAGTATTACAGGATCTGATATTTTGCCAAAGCCATAATAGTTTTAGAGGTCTTGACAAATTGCTACTCCTAACGGGAACTTTGTTAAAGTAGATTTATTTGCAATATCTAACACATTATTTAGCAGATTAATCTGAAAGGTCAAAAATGTATGTAATTAGTATGGAATTTCACTGTATTCAGCAAATAGGTGAAGTTCTAAATACCTATCTACTATGTTCAATAGAGACAGGTTAAAATAAATTGTTTAAATAAAACTTCCTATTAATTAATTCTAGATTTTATTCCCTACCCAAGTGATCTTTAATTGTGTGGATTAGATTATAATCCCTAGGTAACTAAGAGAGAAAGAAATCACCAATGAGTCGTATCATTTGAATATAGAACCCCAACATTTTTTAAATTACTATACCAATTTTTTTCATGGGGGGGAAGGTCTGGGGCCATAGGAGGGCATTTCCTGCCTCCTTTTGTGTAATACAACACACACACACACACACAAAGAAAAACTATTACAACCATCACTTTAAAATAAAATATTTCCCTTTGTAGTATCCTACCATAGCAAGTGGCAACATTATGTAGCATTATATAGAAATGATTTGGTTGTGGTGACATCATGATTGTGGTGTTGCATTTGTTTGCAAGAGGCCTTGCGTTTCATTAGTACAGTTGTAGATTGCACCGTGTTGCTATGGTTGCAGTGACCTCATATGATGATGCTGATTAGAAGTGGCCTTTCCTTGTGCTGTTGCATTTGTTACCAGTGGCCTTGTGCTGGGGGAGGGGGTAGAAAGGGGTGACTTGGCTGCAGGGTGGTGCATGCTGCGGTGGGTAGTGTTGCCCCCGTTGTAGGAGCAATCCGTCCCGTTGCAAAGGGGGTGGAGGGGAACCTCGGCTGTAGCCATGCTGGGACGCTGCAAGGACCCCGGCGCTGGGGTGGCTCTTCCTGGGTGCGGGGAGGCTGCAGGCGGAGAGCGCGCTACAGTGAGCAGATGCCAACCAGGCCTGGAAGCAAGGGGGGGGAGGGGGAGGTGTAGTTGCCCCCGTTGTAGGAGCAATCCGTCCCGTTGCAAAGGGGGTGGAGGGGAACCTCGGCTGTAGCCATGCTGGGACGCTGCAAGGACCCCGGCGCTGGGGTGGCTCTTCCTGGGTGCGGGGAGGCTGCAGGCGGAGAGCGCGCTACAGTGAGCAGATGCCAACCAGGCCTGGAAGCAAGGGGGGGGAGGGGGAGGTGTATGAGG